AATTTTTTGAGAAAGCGCCACACCGCCTTCCACAATGGTTGCACCATCTTACATTACCACCAACAGTGAATAAGAGTTCCAGTTTCTCCACATCCTCGCCAGCATTTGTTGCTTGCTGTTCTGTTATATTTTGCTATTCTTACTGGGGTGAGATGATATCTCATAGTTGTTTTTATTTGCATCTCTCTTAGAGCTAGGGACTTTGAACATTTCTTCATGTGCTTGTTGGCCATCTGAATGTCTTCTTTGGTGAAGTCAAGGTGGCTTCTAACAACAACATATGGTAGGAATTGAATTATGGGGCTGATGCCATTTTTTTAACCTCTAATTCTGTATTGGGAGTCCTTGGGTAACACATATAGTTAGGAACTCAGCTACTTATTCACTGGAAGGTTGATGTTTGGGCCTATCCAGAGACCCTTTAGAATGAAGGCCGAATGCTCTATTTCTGAATGGTCCCTTTGGAGCACAGTTGTACATGCATAGAGGCATGCCATGGGATGTAATTGATGTGACAGCAACCAGTTTCGTTTTGTAAAAATTCTGCAATTTTGGAAAATTTTCACCAGCATTTTCGGTATTTTGTAATTTTTCCTTTCGAAAGCAAATTTTACTAAAATGTAAGAGATGTCCAGTAACCAGGCAGATTGTTTTGTGACCTAGTGAGAGCCCTGCCTTAAGAGGTAATCAATTGTGAGATGACCTAGAAGGTTCTTTTCAGCCCAAGGATTCAAGAACTGTTATTCTACAAATTAGCCTTGTTCAAATACCAGCATTGAGCCAGTGGCAGTTTCCACATGCATCCAAGATGAGCCACCTCCCAGCAGCAGGGCTCAATGGGAGGACAAAACGTATATGAGGATCCAAGGCTGGAAGGGTGAGGATGGGGTGGGGGGGGGTTAATCATGAGGTCACACACTTTGATGGGGGCTTGGGTAAAGGGGAAAGAGCCGGTGTGAAAAACAATGTATACAAAATGTGTAAGTAAAGCAGCATACAATAAAAATTGTATTTAAAAAAAGTCAGCCAAGGGGGAAAGGATTTGAATGAAAGATTTTTTCTTTTACTTTTCAAAGAGAAGAATGAACTGGGGGGGGGAGGTTGGGCAGGGAGAAAAGTGTAACAATGAATGAATGGAAATCCAAAGTCTCTGTAAACGTTCATAAAAACTAATAAAATTTTTTAAAAAAGAAACATAAAAAAAAGAAGTCAGCCTACCGTAATCCACTAGCTGCCCTGAGGTGACTCCGACTCCTCGTGACTATGCCGGGCAGAGTGGGCCTGCCCCAAAGGTTTTCAAGACTGTGAACCTTTGTGGCAGCAGAAGCCTGTGCCATTATTATCCCCTGGAGCAGCTGTCATTGTCATGTACCATTAGGGCTTTCAAAGGCAGTTTGATTGCTCATCTTTCTCTGGGGGAGCAGTTGTTGGATTCAAACTGCCTACCTTTGGGTTGACAGAGCAACTCCTTACCTCTAAGCCATGGGAGTGGTTGGTGGGCACAAATCACTGGTCCTTTGCCTAATAGTCAAGTGCCATGACTACTAGTGTACCCACCCAAACCCCCTGTCATCAAGTTGATTCCAACACTCTCTATCGGGTTTCCAAGGCTGTATATAAACATATTAAACACTAGAGGATACTGACTGCCTGTCTTGGAGCAGCTGGTGGATATGAACTGCTGACCATGTTGTTAGCAGTGCAACACAGTGGTGTACACTCCCAGGGATCTTTCCCTGCCGTGAGGGCTTGCTTATTAGATGACAACTCGGCTTTAAACTCAAAAGGAGATGAGAATAGTTGCAAGACTTGAACCTATGTCACTCAATGGTACATGTCCAAACTGTGGAATTGCAGCGTTTTCATGTGTCTGTTCTCAACAACAAAAACAAAATGGGGGAAAAAAGAAAGACCAAGGACATGATGATTACAATAAATTTCAGTGAATTTACAGGTGAAGGATGGTGAAATGTAAGTATTTGTTACACATATTTCTTAAAATGTTGGTTTTGGGGTTTTTAGGGTTTTTGGGATTTTCCCCCCCATAAACTCTCCAAAGGTCTGTAACTTCCTTCCAAGTCTTAACAGACAGTATAAATCGTTGAAAGCACAGGAACAAGTATAACTGGGTGAGGTCTTAATGCCAACAAAATGCACCTAAGGAAATCCTGAAGCAAACATTTCCCGTCTGGCGTTGGAGGGAATTTCATGGATGCTAGAACCCTGTGCACCGCAGGAGACACTGCTGGAAGTATGTTGGTGTCAGCAGGAGAGGAGAACGCAAAGCTGTGAGAAATGACACCTTCTGCTTCCTGCGTGGTGACCTCTTGCCTTCAGACAGAAATCAGAGATCCTAACTAGGACCACCTATGAGAATCAAAGGAGGCTCTCCTGCTCCACCCTTGACCTTTGCCGAGACCTTTCCTCTGCGTCTTGCCCTCTTTTCTCATGCACTGACAGTTCCACGATCCCATTCCCCTCTCTATCCTTGCCCTCAAGCAGGAGCTGACTTCCTCCTCTTTAGAAAGAAGCAGTAATATCTCAGTTGGCATGGCCTGCTAAGGACACCGGGCTGAGCATTATGAACAATGGCTAGGGGGCTATTCCCAGCATTCCTTGGCAGTACAATGTTGGCGAGGTAGCACAGGCACCATTGTTGTCTGTGGTGTGGTATATGCAGAAAAGAAATGTAAGTAGTACTAACGCCTGGTCTGTAACGGGCCCAAAGTTGGTGCTGAAATTAGTAGAAAGATGTCAGACTTTCAGCTCCGTGTGAGGAAGGACTGAATCTGTTACGTTTTGCACTGTCTCCAGCATTCAGAGCGCTACCTGACACCTAATACATACCTAGCGGCACTGCGAGTGCTCGTGCTGTTGTCTGTTGAGAGACACTGCTAACCCAAAGGCAGTGCTTCTCTGATGGTTCGAATCCTCCAGAGTCTCTCTAACAGAAAGATGGGCAACCTCATCCCGCGCAAGTGCAATCTCTGAAAAGCGGCTGGAGGGTCAGCTACCAGTCAGGTCGGACTCCGCACCCATGAGTGCGTCAGCGATAGGTACTCAAAACTTAGTCGCTACATTGTGGGGAGGGCTGGCGGGTGGGAAGAAAATGTGCACATGAAAAAAAACCCCAATTTAAAAAATCAACAAAAAGCGCAGCTGCTAAGTTAATGGATGTTAAAGCAACTCATCTGAGACCAAGGGAGAACCCTGCATTCTAGAAATTATCGCTTTCAATGCCAACCTTTGTCGGCCCTGCTATGTGGCAGCACCAGAGAAGAGCGAACTCAAACCGGCAGCAGAGAGGCACGGGGAGTCGTTTGTGCCTACTTCTCTGGGTTAAGGGCAGAAATAGGGTGTGGACATGAAACCACAAAGAAACAGCATTGATTGCTTAATCTATGACCCATGTAATGGGTTTCCCTTTGGGTGAAGCATTTTATAGCAAGATGAAATTGGTAGAGAAGCCTGAGAACTCTTTTGAGATAGCTTCAGGTTCCTAGGCAAACATTCAAACCTGATCCTGACTTCCTAACTGTGAACTGTGGATTGGGTTGGGTGTGTGCTAGGAGAGACTGGGTTTGACTGGGGCTTGGAGCTGGGATTGATTCACAACAAGAAGGGAGGTTATTAATATGTGCCTTAA